TCCCTGCCTTTTATCCCCAGAGCTAGGATGGGGCTTTGCTAGCAGCGGTGGGTTTTCTGTCCCAAGGACCAGCCCATAGATTTCAATTGCTCTCCTCTCCTCTGCCACATCTATTCATCTCCGCCCCCTGCTTTTTATCCCCAGAGCTAGGGTGGGGCTTTGCTAGCAGCGGTGGCTCTTCCGTCCCAAGGACCGGCCCATAGATTTCCACTGCTCTCTTCTCCTCTGCCCCATCTATTCATCTCCGCCCCCTGCCTTTTATCCCCAGAGCTAGGGTGGGGCTTTGCTAGCAGCGGTGGCTCTTCCTTCCCAAAGACAGGCCCATAGATTTCCACTGCTCTCCTCTCCTCTGCCACATTTATTCATCTCTGCCCCCTGCCTTTTATCCCCAGAGCTAGGATGGGGCTTTGCTAGCAGCGGTGGATCTTCTGTCCCAAGGACCAGCCCATAGATTTCAATTGCTCTCCTCTCCTCTGCCCCATCTATTCATCTCCGCCCCCTGCCTTTTATCCCCAGAGCTAGGGTGGGGATTCGCTAGCAGCGGTGGCTCGTCTGTCCCAAGGACCAGCCCATAGATTTCCTCTGTTCTCCTCTGTCACATCTATTCATCTCCGCCCCCTGCCTTTTATCCCCAGAGCTAGGGTGGGGCTTTGCTAGCAGCGGTGGCTCTTCCTTCCCAAGGACCGGCCCATAGATTTCCACTGCTCTCCTCTCCTCTGCCTTCTGCGCATCCGTGCCTCAGGCACAGAACCCAGCTGCTCCTCCTCTTCCTCATTGGCCACCTCCAGACCTGGGGGCTGCTGACTCTCCATTTGAGGGCAGACGGACGGCCCAGGCTCTCCCCGTCTTCCTCCCTCTCTCTCTCTCTCTCTCTCTCCCCTCTCTCCCCCCACCCCTCTCTCTCAGGTCCATTCCCTCTTCCCCCGCGGACCGACAGGCCACAACACCTATTTCTGTCGGTGTGATCCGTCAGGTGGTCCGAAGGTTTCTCCAGTAGTGGAATTCCTTCTGGAGACCTGCACATCTTCACAAAGGGCCAGCGACATCTGGAGATCTATCATTTCCCTCAATCCTGCTGTCAGGGTTCCAGATTATCAGAGCCCGAGGCAAAGTATTGCTCAAAGTTCCAATTTATGAAGAGAGTCACGTTGGCACATCTGGGAAAACCCAAATCTGACAGCTTCCCTGTTTCCCCCACCCAGTTGAAAGTTCAAGATCCTGTCCCAAACACCCACAAGTCCATCTCGTGGTCCCATCTCCCACTGCCACGCTGGCAGCTTCCTCCCACCCAGTTCCGGTCAGGTGCAGAGGCAGCCTGTCCCTTCCGTTGTGAACGCTGCTCCTTTCTCGTTTCAGAATACGCTGTTGTGTTTTACCCTGAGCGGAATCTTTAAGGAAGGTGAGTGCGGGATCGAAAGGCCCCGTCCTACAACGCAGGGTGGGGGTCAGGCCTCAGCATGCACACACACACACCCCTTCCTGACCCCCTCCGCTCTCTGGTTTCCTTCCCCCACTGCAGTCGACAGCCGTTCTCGGGATACAGTGCGAGCCTTCACCCGGATCTTCATTGCCGTCCCTGTGGGCCACAGCGGGTAAGCGGCTCCAGAGGGTCGGCAGACAGGCAGAGGAATCGGGGGGTGCTTGAATGCTGCCCGGCGGGGATTGGGGGAGACCTTGGTTCGAATCCCACCTTAGGCCCTTTTGAGTCGCTCCCTGTCTTATCCGTCGCATCACCAGCCTCCCCTTAAATGCATTGCGTCGTCTCCAGGAGTCAAAACATGTGCAAAAGATGTTCGGGTTTATAAGCCCAGCATCCTCTTGTGTATCACTGATGATGTTCCCTAGTTGGGTAATGAAGCGTCTGCAAGAAAACAGCCACCAAGCTCAGAGAGCACCAAGGACCCCACAGTCCTCCTCCTCCTCGCCACTGTCCCCGCTCCCTTCGAGCACTGAGGATGTTACCCAGTAGGGCGCTGAAACATCTGCAAAAGAAAACCGGTCCTAACTCCTGCTGTAACTTCAAGCGGTCCCAACCTGAGCTGTTGTAAGTCGAGGACTTTCCTGTCCTGGGGGGGTGGCATCCGGCTGCAGCTCTTCCTTTCTTTCCGCCAGGCTGAGCATCGTGAATGACCAGATCTTCATCCGCAAAGCCAACAACACGGAAATCCGCAAAGCCTTCGTCATGCCGGCCCCCACCCCGTCCTCCAGCCCCGTGCCCACCCCTTCCACCGAGTCCATGCCCTCTTCGTGCCCCGGGCTCACCCTGACGGTTGAGCAGCAGGAGATGTTGCAGAATTTCTCCCTGCAGTCGGGCATGAACCTGGAGTGGTCTCAGAAGTGAGTGCCGGCGGGGGAGCGAGGGCAGGAAGGGGTAGAGGGTAGAGGCCAAGATGGCGTCAGACCGGCGTTGGATCTCTCCCAAGGCTTAAGAACCTCCTCTCTCTTTCTCTCCTCTCTTTCAATCTCTATTCTTTCTCTCCCTTTCTCTCTTTCAATCTCTATCCTCTCTCACTCTCTTTCAATCTCTTTCAATCTATTCTTTCTTTCAACCTATTCTTTCTTTCAATCTTTCAATCTCTCTCTTCTCTTTCTCTCAATCACTTTCAATCACTCTCTATTCTCTTTCAATCTCTCTTTCAATCTATTCTTTCTTTCAACCTATTCTTTCTTTCAATCTTTCAATCTCTCTATTCTCTTTCTCTCAATCACTTTCAATCACTATTCTCTTTCAATCTCTCTTTCAATCTCTCCCTCTCAATCTCTTTCAATCTCTCTATTATCTTTCAATCACTTTCAATCACTCTATTCTCTTTCAATCTCTTTCAATCTCTCCCTCTCAATCTCTTTCAATCTCTCTATTATTTTTCTCTCACTTTCAATCACTCTCTATTCTCTTTCAATCCCTCTTTCAATCTCTATTCTCTTTCTCTCAATCTTTATTGTTTCTCTCTCTTTCAATCTATTCTTTCTTTCAACCTATTCTTTCTTTCAATCTTTCAATCTCTCTCTTCTCTTTCTCTCAATCACTTTCAATCACTCTCTATTCTCTTTCAATCTCTCTTTCAATCTATTCTCTTTCTCTCAATCTTTATTGTTTCTCTCTCTTTCAATCTATTCTTTCTTTCAATCCACATCTTTCATTCTCTCTCTTTCAATCTA